TTGATACTCAGCCACATCAGGGAAACCGACATCAACAATCGATCGACACACTCACTTCTCCATCAATCGATTTCAACACCACCTACTGCAGGAAATTTGGCAATTTTCTTATTTCCTAGGGCACCTGATGAGTATAAAGGAGGTCTTGCAACCAAGAGGACGACGTCTCATACCATCGAATTAGAAAAGATGCAAGCACCTACTACCTTTGGGAGACAGAGAAAGAGCGGCACCAGCTACAGAGATCATCATGGCAAAGCAACAAGTGTAACATTCAACCAGCGAAAGGTCACCACCTCTCGTCTACCATCGATCAACGTTGTGGCTAGTACATCGATCGATTGTAACATTAAAACTTTTATTTTAACTAAAGATTATTATCTTGATGAGTTTCTAAAGCCATATGAATTTGGATTAGGGACCCAGAAGGTAATGCACGAGCCATAGATGGAAGGATTCTCCAAGTTTCCAAGGAAGACATAGCAGAAATCCTTCAGATCGCCAATGGACCAGAAAATCTCTTTCAGCAGCAACTAGGCGTGATGCAGAAACCATTGACTGACACAAATCAGCCACCGTCGATCGTCAAGGATACTCATCCATCGATCGACAGGACGACACGCATATCAATCGATCACAACAAATTTCATGTATCGATTTTGGAACCGGAGCTTTACACCAAAGATGAAATCAATAAGATGATAGGTTGCATGATTGATTGGCAGAAAGAAACAGTGGGTAAGCTCACCAAAAATCTGGATACGGCCTAAGTGATTTTGCAAGGAAGCATTACTGGTATAACTGTGCGAATAAAAGAGATGGAAGCAGAACTAGTTAGTCTGAAGACACAGAGTGTGCCATCGATCGATGCCACTAAGGATGCATCGATCGACGCAAATGACGAACCAAAAAAGGATGAGCTGTCGACATAACAGAAATGGGACGAGGTATATATCGATGCAAGGATTGACGAGATACATCACCACCTCACAACCAACATCAACTGGTTAAGCATGAGGATTGAGTTGCTACAACATGATTTGCATAAAATCGATGAAGAGAAGCATGAGAAAAGCAAACCGATCGATACAGAGGCTACCAAATTGATCGATGCTAAGATTTTGGACACTGAAACACATAAGAATATATGCACAGATTATCATGATCACTACATGTCACCATTCATGCGGTACCTACACACCTTGGACAACCGGATGACTGCTTTACAACAAGAGGTCACCACCATTCAGATGCAACTCGGTTTCCACATACCATCCTCATCATCTATCGACAAACGTAGAGGCAAATCGATCGATGCGAAGAAGTTACCAAAGCAGAAATTCTATACCATAGCCGAAGTTGACCTGATCATTAATAGGATCTACAAAGCTCTGAATACCACCAAGGATAGGCTTGACAGGAGATGTGATGACATATTCGTCCCCTTCAACAACAGCATCAGTGGACTACACTCAAGAACAGAATGGCTGCAGAAGAAAGTCAGGACAATTCAGACAAGACTCGCCTGTCGACCTGAAACTGCAACATCGATCGACAAGGATAATGTTCAATCGATCGATGACGTTCCAACTGAATCAATCAACACCGAAGTTGTCGCAGCGATCGATGCCGAATCAGTACCAGGACAAGCGAAGCTGCTACATGAAGAATTAGTTAAATCAGCACCAACCAACAAGGCATTGGGAGAACTGACAGAAAATGTCTATGATAAGGTTCAATGGTACATCATCAACATTAAGAGTCTTAAGGAGAGACTTCAACACATTGCAGACACAAGTATAATGATGGATGAAAGATGGGCCAGAAGTGATGAAGCCAAAAGAGGTTTCATGGCTAATTGGTTCAACATCAACAAAGAAGTTGTGGATACTTGTTTTCCAACAAGTAGCTCCTTTTCCACACCATAGCTCACCCAGCATAAACAGTCAAGCTAAATGACTATAACAAAGCGCTGAGTGGGAGCCAACCCACTGTTAGGTAATTTTTATTTTGGTTTTCTTTTACTGTTTCTTTCTTTATTTGCATCATAATATAAACAAATAAGTGTTTATGCTTTTACCGGTGCAATTATTCTTATGAGAAGTTTATAATTAAAAAGTTTCATTTTTCTCAGATTATGAAAATGTTAGATCTATTGATTATTCTTCAGTAATGCTTTAAGATGTATAATCTTAATAGCTTTAAGATGTATAATCATACAATAAATAAAAAATAAATAAACTAATAACTCCTAAAACTCTCACAGAGAATCTACTATATCCTCTGAACTAACAATCTTCTTGAGAAGCCAGGTTGTTGGCAATACATTTGTAATGCCTCTCATCTCGAGAAGCTTGTGCATATTCTTGCTCGGTTTTCAATCTCTCCCCAGCAACTTCTAGCTCCTGTAAACCAAGCAGGTCCGAGCAAGATTCATATCTGAACGTAGCTTCTGCAAAATTTATGCAAACCAACTTCAAACTTAGTAATGTGTTTTTTTCTTACATAAAAACAGGGAAGTAGCAATTTCAGACCTCAACTGCAGCTCTTGGGATTCTAGACAACGGTCTTCTCCCTACTTTGCCTTCTACAGAGACTTTTTCTCTTTCACTCTGTTCCGCTATTTCTTTAACATCCTCATCTTTCTTACTATTTTCACACATAGTTACAACTGTGCTTGCTCCATCAGATTCCTTTTTTCTCTTCCTTCTGTCACTCGGACCCCAGTCTTCATCTTCACTACCTTGCTCTTGCAAGACAGCTTCCTTTCCAAACATTGTTTAACCACATCAAATAGGTGCATTCTATGACAGTTTATCATGCCTTTTAAATACTCATAAGAATTTTTCTGATCCAGATCCTCAAGAATTCCAGTGAGCCATGCCTCACGACATCTTAAGAACTGCACAGCCAAGAAGAGCCACTCAGAAGTGTAGGCGTAGCATACAGAATGAACAACTATATACAAAGGAACAGAATGCATGCAATGGAAGGATAACTTCAGATGGTTATAAGTTACAACTTAAATGTCAAAAAAATTTACCTGTAATGGCATTTCATACAATCTGGAGACATTCTGGCAACTGAAATAAAGAGCACCAAACATTGAGCCATTTAGATTTCTATAAACATAGTTCACTGAGATAGAAACAGAAAACTATATTCACATCAGACCTGTATATTGGAGCGTAGTTTCTAGAGAAGCTATGAGAGAAGTGACTTGAGTTATTTGTCTAACCTCAGCTGCAAGTGTTGGAGAACAGACAATCTTGACAATGACAGAAGATGAATTCTTAACAGCTAAAGCTTCCTTAAGAAGCCCAAAAAAATTGGATAACAAAAGAAAACCTTACTTGGGATGCATGGTTGCAAGTTTCAACACAAAAGCTTCCAGATCAAGAGCTTCATCAAAATTTCTATTTCCCACGCATCTGATAAAAATATAGTTCAATTTTTAAGAGCACTTTAAAGTTCCTTAACGTCAATATAAAATTCAGTTCTCACATGAAAGGGTATGAGAAGAGATTTGCTGGCAAGAGGTCTAGTAGCAATGACTGGTTAATAATCCATATAGTTTTCACCTCTCGTTCTGTTTCTGAATCATGATAAAAAAAAACTAATTTTTTATCTAGCAAGTAAAACGGAAAAAGAACAACGAAAAATCAACGTCTCAATTACAGACCAAACATTTCTACAAAACAAATAAACCAAAAACCAGAAATGGATATCGAGCAAGAACAGAGAGAGATCTCAGAATAAACATGTTCGTCGATGAGGAGCATCTCGAGACCATTGAGTATCTTCGAGAGTGGGTTTCAAGCCTCTCAAAAATGGATCAGACGAAACCTTAAATCGCTTTCTTGTGGTTCGAATCCGACATCTCTGAAGAAGAACACTTCATCGACTTTGGCGGAGGAGTCGGAGTGGAGAATCTCTTTGCCGTTTGGTTTCTTCGACATAGGATCGCTGGAGACAGGGTTGGTGGAGGAGACTCTGGTTTTGCCGGTGTTTTCGATCGCTGGGGATTTTCCATCGGGTTTCATCGCGGATTCGGCTTCTTGAGAGGATTTTGATTGAAACCAAGAAATGGTGAAGAGGTTTATAAGAAATAGTTAGAGAGGGAGTTGAAACGAAAGACATTAAAGATGAGAGTAAAGAGGAGGTTAGATTGTTAGTGGTGATGAAAATCGCGAGCGAGAAGGGGTAACATAAAAGAAGTGGGTGAAAGTGAATCGATCCATTCAATTTGTGGGATTAGGGTTTCTGAAATCGGGTTCAACAGAACCGTGAAATTTTCTTGTCTCAAGCAGTACTGACGTGGTGGATTAAAAGCTCTTGATTGGCTGATTTTTACATCCTACGTGGACACGTTAAGAGAGCTTTATATTTGACTTTTAGTATAGTAAGATGAAGTAACGTCGTGCTTAAAATAAAATTGTAGATCTACACAATGAAGAGAGACAATGATTAACATATTATAAAAGAGTGGAAAAAGTTGCATTGAGTTATTTTGATGTTTTGTGGTTAAAATGTCTCATCAAATGCTTATTACTATTGTATATATTCTGGTGTACTATTTTAATTTAATGTGATTTAGATATAGTATAGTATCATTTTTGTCCGATAGTGTTTAAGAAAATTTAACTTATGACATATGTAAAAAAATATGTATATTTTTATCAATAAAATTATGAGAATTATTCGATTGAATTTTATTTGAATCAAAAGATATGGTCAAATGAAATCGAAAGGGTAAGAAAACAAAACAAAAGAGAGAACAAGATGAAAAAAAAAAGATGAAAAAAATAAACAAAAGATAGAACAAGATGAAAGAAAACAAAGTAACTAAAAAGATGACTGTTAGAAAAAGAAAGAAGATCTCGAGATCATTTTGTAAATAGAAGTTAAGTGTACATGCTAACACGTAGAAGTGTTTCCAAATGTAAATAGACTGTTAGAAAAAGGGTGTCGGTGTAAATATCACTGTTAGAAAAAGTAAGAAGATCTCGAGATCATTTTTCCTCATTATAAACCCCACTAGTCCACTAGAGTAGAGAGAGAGAAAGAAATGGCTAGATTCATAGTGTTGATTGAGGCAGTAGTACTCGCTTTTCTAGTGGCAGCGCCGGTGCCTGAAGTGGCGGCGAAGAAGTATCTAGTCGGCGACAAGAAGTTTTGGAATCCAAACGTCGACTATACCACCTGGGCTAAGGGGAAGCATTTCTACCTCGGCGACTGGCTCTGTATGCTCTCACCCTCTTCTACTCTCGGATCTGTTTACGTTAGATCTCATTTTTAATGGTTTTCTCTTTAAATCTGGTAATATTTACAAAAGTTTCAACTTTTCTGCTAAAAGTTCTTACCTTTCCGAGCTTCTACTAAAAGTTTCCTTATTAGTTCAGATCTGGTAAGAACAGACTGTTAAGCTTGTCTGAGTGAGTAAATCCATGTCTTTCTCTCTTTGTGTCCATCGTCTGAATAAACAGTAATCTTTCTTTGTTAGATTTCGTGTACTACAGAGACCAATACAACATTCTTGAAGTAAACAAGACCGACTACGAACGCTGTATCTCCGACCATCCTATCCGAAACTATACACATTGTTGTGGGAGAGACATTGTCCCTCTCAATGTCACCAAACAGTACTATCTACTTGACGGAAGGGGTGGTTGTTTTCACGGCATGAAGCTCACTGTTACAGTTGAGAACCCTCCTCCTCCACCCAAATCTGCACCTGTTAAGAGGCATTAGATCAGTGTAAGAGTTTAAAAGCATCAGCTGGTTGTTAGCCTTCTTTTGTTGTCTGATTCATTTCGATGGATGATCTTGTTTCATGATTTGTTGTGTGCTCCTATGGTTTACTTTTATTTAAGCATAAAACATGAATTTCAAATGCCTAAAAATATGGATCAATAATATTCTTGCTGGTTTGTTTATGTGGTGTCAAAGTTAGTTCTCACTAACACATTTGGTGAAGAAAGAATATGAAATCTCACCTAGTTGTTGTTCTGGAATAAATTTTGAGTTTATTTATAATGATGTTGTCTTGGCTAGATCTTTATAAAGGGCTTTGACATGATATTCATAAAGCATGATCCCACTACTTTGGATGATATTTTTGATTGGGTTTGATTTTGGTTTGGGCTTGAGTTTTTTTTTAATCAAAATTTGTTAGTTTTTAATAATTTAGGCCCATGAAAATAGGTTTATCATCTTCTTGCATTAGTTTTGTTTCTCTATCGACCAAAGTTGCAGAGATCAAAGACACAAAAGTTTTCATTGTAACAAGAAGTGGAATGAGTGTTTAATCACTAAAGTTTGTTCACAATCTAAACATTTCATAAATACTCTGCAATCCATCAAGATAAGTAACATAACACCACAAAAACTCCTAATCCGCTAAAATCAGTGAGTGAATAAAATTAGAGATTTTTTAAAAGCAGATTGAGAGTGGTCGGGGAACTATGGAGACTCCTCTGGCTGCTCTTCTTGCTGGGCTAAAAATAGTGTTGCAATACAATAGGAAATAATACCGTTGATTCAGCTGAGTATAGAATCTTTTTTGAAATTTTGCAAGAAGCGTTGATAAATAGCTTACAATCAGATTTTTGTCCAGCTCAAAATTAGTTTCTCACACTGAAAAACTATTTAAAGAAGCCAGTCATGAAGTTCTCTGCAAGTTGTAAGAAACGAAGAAATATGATACCATTTTCGCATTGTGAGTATAAGAATTGTACCTCTTTTGGGTTTTAGTTTTTCATAAGTCTAATGATAATAACATCTTCTTTTTCATGATATTTAAGTAGTAGGCATATGTGTCATGGAAACATTACAAGGAGATACAAAGCTTTAAATCTAATCGAACTACGGTAGACACGGAACAGAATTACTCTGTCAAAACAGAGACTTAACTAACTTTCATGGAGATATTTACTATCGAGTGATAAACGGGACATGAAGTGAATTAAAGGGAATGTGGTGTGTAGAGATGCCAATTTCACTAAAAATAAACATAACTTCTACTATAAATTTTTAGTTTATAAACGATGTACAAACACTAATATTTTTCTTATTTATTAGAAATAACTAAATTATTAAAAGCCATATAAATAGAAAATACATATAATATACAAATAAATTATGTATTATCATGTAAATATATTATTTACGAATTTTTACAAATAATAGGGGAATAAAAATATAATACGGTAATTATATGATAAAAATGTAGATAATATAGATTATGATTTAAAAATAAAAAAAAACCAGTCAGCATAAAATATAAAATTATTATGTTTAGAAATTTGAGTGATTTAATATAATATATGTTAAAAATATATAATACCATTTTATGTAATAAATATTTATTAAATAAAATTAGATATTTGCAGTGCGGATCAAGCTCTAGTATACGTTCTTATACAAAAAACATGAATATCCAAATCCCCTAGATATTAAAGGAGAAGCATTTTCTAAGAGTTTCCATAATTGTCTCTTGGTCGTGTTTGACGTGGCTTCATCAGAATCTGTTACTCGAAAATTGCATACGTGTCGCGTAGAGAGTGTCTCTCACTAAAACGGTGAATTTATTGCAAAAATTTGTTTCCTTTTTCTTATATTTTTTGTTCCGTAGTTATGAAAGGACAAGTAATCCCGTAGCTCACTAAAAATAAGAAAATGGAGAATGATAATCACGTAAGAAAAGACATGTCTTCAAAATGATGCGTGGGACAAGAGGTTTTAGTGAGTTTATCACTTGCGCGGATCTTCGCTTTCTTACGTGATTATCACTTGAAGACATGGTTGGGAAAATAAGATGACAAAACCAGGGAGAGAAATGAACCACAATTATCACTTGAAGACATGGTTGGGCTTATGGTTAGGCAAATAAGAAGACAAAATAGAGGAGCTCACGGAAAGAGATTGTCTCGAGTGGTAGATCGAACAAATCTCTACTCTTGGTATTAATAATTGATGCATTACTCTGATGCATTACTCTTAAGAATCACTAAAAGGTGTTGTTGATAGAACTGTCAGGAGAAGACGAATATTGTTGAAGCCATTGTAACCCTTTTGCCGAGTGACGAGAGAGGATCAATCATCCCTCTCAATGTCCTCCTTATAATGTTAAAGATCAGATTTATATCATATATAGAGATCTGCCGGAGCTAGAATGTAGAATACTGATATCACTCAAATGTTTAACCCTAAGAAGTGAATTACTCTCTCAAATAAGAGGTTCAGTTGTAGTACTTAGGGATCGAATCCACAGGGAACTAAGGAATACAATAGATATAATCTAAATGATTATGCTAGGTTGAATAGGTTTAAAATAGTAAAATTGCAGTTTTGTAAGCAATGGTAAGTTGCTTAAAGAGAGTGGGTTTTTGGTTTGAAACAATAAAAGAAAGTAGTTAGATTCAAGGTTGCTATTCAGATAATCAGGATTATAATGCTATAGATGTTTTAATGAATTGCTTGCAAGATATATGAGAACTTTGATTCTTAGATAGATCTAATAGCAGTCGCTAAATAGACACATCCATTGATCTTATTTCCAGCAATATCGACATATGTTTTGACAGCGATATCGGACGATATGGGTTGCTGTTGATCGATGACTCTATAGGAGTATCGATCGATATAGCATAAAATCTAATCAAAACTGTGTTCACCAAGATCATAGACCGGCTCTCGCACAACCCTAGAGGATCTAAGCTCATGCCAAATGATTTCAGGACAATGATTAACAAGTTAAATCACATCCATGATCATACTCTAGGTAGCCACTCTAGAGTAAGCATTAGGGTTCATTTGGATAATGAATATCACAACTCAACATTCCATAGTTGGGGCTAATCCCTCATAACTATTTGAACCCTAATTCTAACAAAGGAATCTACTCAGACATGGCTAAGAGATTCATAACAGCAAGGTAATAATATCTAGAAATTCATAAGATTAGAAGATTGAACTCTTGGTTCTTTGGAACAACAAATCTCTTTGTGTGTTTCTTCTAAATCTAGAATTCTATAACCTTTGAGAATTAAGATGAAAAGAAATACTTTATAGAATAGAACAAAGTAACAAGAAAAGTATGTAAAGCTTTTCAAGTACAAAAGGTATCAAAAGGTATTAGAAACATAAAAAGCATGTCTAGCCAAACACAATGGAAAAAACTATAAATAAGAGTTCCATTAGGTTAAGAACTCGTCAGGGGCATTTTTGTAATATTGGGAAGACTTGGGCTTCAAGTCGGCCAAGTTGAACTTGTTCTCAACGCATCATATTGATCGATGGTACATGGTGTACATCGATCGATGAAGTATCTCGACTTCATCTTCAATAGAAGCGTCATCGATCGATTACATAGGGTATCTATCGTATGTGTCCTCATTATCTGATCTTCATAGTCATCTCGGAAAACTCTCATTTAAGCTCCAAAAGGGCACCTAAATCATCATTTTACTCCAAAGTGCTCCTGAACCTGAAAACATACCTAATAGACTCCAAAACATATATAAAACTCATAAAAACATATCAAAACCATGGCTAAAATCGGGTCAAAATCATGGTATATCAAATACGTCAGCAGTTATAGAGCATGAGACTTGATGATCTGCTTTACTTTCTGTAGGAAGGGAAGTGTCCATGTATTACGTGCATACTGTCTATAGGATGCTCACTTGCTTTCTTGAGAGGGTTTATGAATAAAATGAGGAGAATGGTTATGATACAGACTCCACTGGTCATCACCATGGTTCGTTGCTGAAAGTGGGAAGGATCATGGATCCATACCTGAGTCTACAGAAGTTCACAGCCGTTATAGAGAGGTTACCTGATTATGCACGTATGTAACCCCTTTCAAATATAACTATAAAAATGTTGATTATTCCGACCCAAATTTTATATGTTTTTGTTTTAATGATGGCTTGAGTTTATTTTGTTATGAGTGTATGTATTTGATCTGCCTGAACCTTTGCAAACAAGCATTGAGCAATAGATGGCTCCTAAACTTTCACATAGCAGATTTTGGCAAACACCTGTTCTTTCAAGTTTGCAAATAATATTTAGTTTTATAGTATTGTATAAACCCATGTGAGCTATATGGACCTCCATCTCATAGCTTTACTCATGAAAAATTATAAAGATATGAGTTCACTATGATAATCCATGTCAGAAATTTGTTTGGAATACATTCAAAATTAAATAGCCCTTATATATTTTACTTAGTTTGACATCAAAATTCAACCCCACAGACAGTTTCCATGTAGCTAGAAGCACTTAAATCATTGATGCCATTTACTTTTTTTTTGTATTTATGATTGTACATATTAAATTGGAGAAGTTTCTTTAAAATCAATCTTTCCATATGTCTATATATACAATATATTCTTATTGCGTATTATGTTTTTAAAATTTATCATTTTTTTATCACTAGAGTCTAAGACCCATATCAAGACCATATATTGTATTCTATTATATATGGACACGGTCTAAATGTATAAGTTATACGATGCTTGGAGAAGTTTCTACACTTTTAATATAGTAAAACATTTGTAGCAAACCTTATATATACAACCATCCTAAATTGGCAAACCTTAAATATACGAAATATAAATATCATTTACTATGATGTACCTATATAATACCACATGATACACGAGTCAAAGATTATTATTTTTCTCACTCTAAAAAAATCGACAACATCTATAATTTTTAGGCCACGTCATTGGTTGTTTTCACCTATGTTTCTAATTTGAAACCATTCAAATCTCTAAGGAAGGTAAATGTCAAGATCATTTGTTTTGGAAGCAGTATTCAGATGTCGGTGGACTAACAATTAAGACGGTTTTCGTCGACGTTAAGGTGAATAAATAATGTATTCATATGATTAAAACGTTTATTTCCATGTTCTTATATGAAATGATTGGTTGACATCAGAATTGTTAAAAATTCATATAACATGAAACCAAATAAGTATTAATAGTCTATAGGTTTTCACAGAAAAATAAAAAACTTCAACAATTTTTACTGAAAAAATAATAATGAATTTAAAATTTAATTATATAAGTGCATATTAAACCCCAA